ATGCCTCTTTGACTCCATGAAAAAACCTAAATAATCCCCTTATGAACAAATATTGTCTGTGGGGAGGGGCATAAAAACAACAACTTCTAAAAAAAGATCCCCAATGAAATATATACAAAATGACAGAATAATATTTACAAGAAACCAAATAAAATTAGTGTTAGTAATAAAACCCCCCACAAACTATTGAATGTGGCAGAAATATCAGTTAACCGAACGAAATCGATGCGGGACTTATGAAAAATAAAGCCACACTCATTCATCCCAAGCATTCACACAGGCACACACTCATTCATACGCAACAACAAATACGAAAAAACACACGCACGAAAACGAAAAGCGCCCCGCATCTACCAGAGAACTGACATCACTGACCACCTAAAACGAGGGAGGGATGGGGAGTTAAACTAAAGGAAAAGAAAATGGGGACAGAAATAAAGGGACCAATGAGCAAATACACCCTAGCTAAGTTTACCAGAATAGAAAACTAAAAAAAAAAAATACAAAAAACTAATCTAACCTAACTCCGGGATGGGTTGCCTATGTTAAACCCAGGAAAACAATATCCTTAATGCCTAACCGGCATCCAAATGCCACTCTAGGTCAGCCCCTTTTACTCGGCACATTCGCGCAAGAATCACCCACCTTTTGCTGAATTCCGATGAGGTGAGCCGCCGCCTTTCCGTCCTGATCTTGACTTTAAGCTGATGCTTAAAGAACAAGATCAGTTGGGAAGAAGTGAACTTCTCGCCCTCATGGAATCCCTTCTGACGCGTCGTCCAAATCACGACTCTCATAACCCCTAGTAAGCAACAGAACACATAGTGTTCAGCCTTCGTCATCTGCGGCACCACATTGCTACAAACAGAACTGGCTTCCAGGATTAAAAAAACTTTCCGTGCAGCATGCGAACCATGAGGCCTTCAACAAACCTGCACAACGGCACTACCGCCCTGCACTGAAAGAAGGCGTGACCAATAGTCTCGACTTCCCCCGTACAGCGACGACAGTTTGGATATTTCTCCAAGCCTGCTGAACAAAGTCTCTTGCCGACCCAGAGGGCTTCACGAATCACCAGCCAGGTGGTGATGCCTCATCGTTATTGAGACATTTCAACCCGGGCGCCCAAGGCCATATCGAGCGAGCCTCCTGCTTCGTAAGACCGAGCTCGCCAATCAGATCATCTTGTACGGACCCCTAACTAAAACTTGATATAATGCCTTGCGAGACAACGCCTGGGCGTTGGAGAGACCATCCGAAGCCCGTAAGAGGAGCTTCAGAGCGCGACGACATTCACGATAAAAGAGCACTCGGCACGTGGTGTACGGCCGGCCTCTTGTTCGCACGAGTGCACACTTTTCAGGGACGGAAAATGTTTCTGGACGTCTTCTTTTCAAAAGGCACCCTCCTCATTCGACCCACGACACATTCGGTCTAAAAAGGTAATGCGGAGCATATATTGACGAATCTCAATGCTAGGCATCCCCAGACCGCCCTCAGAGGGATGGAGGCAACAGACCTCGCGAGATACCATAGGGGCCTTGCCTCTCCACAAGAAAGAGAACAAGGTCCTGACTAATGACATTAGTCGGGCATACGGGAGTGGAAGCACAGAGAGTCGGTAGAGGAGGATCGGATAGATGTGTGAAACACATACTTCCGCCCTTCCCTTCAGGCAAAGTCTCCTCCGAGACCACAGACTAATCGCGATCTCAGCCTTCCCTTGTACCTCCGACCAGTTCATTTCCAACTGGAGATCAGGACCGAACCAGACGCCGAGTATCTTGATCGGCCCATCCGTCCAGAGGAAAGGTCCGGGAAGAGAAACTCCCTTCCACGCACCCAACCGAAAGCCCACAGACTTATCACGGTTGAACTTGGCCCCTGTCACAATCTCATAACCATTGATTTCTTTGCTGACTTCGTTATTCTCGGCTCTGCTCGACACAAGAGCCGAAACGTCGTCAGCATAGGCAGAATAACTGGCTGAGGTGGTAGCGCCAGGCAGGGTAATTCCGCGCAGGACCGGATTCGCCTTTAACTTGCGAAGGAATGGTTCCAACGCAAGAACGTAAAGCAAGGGCGATAGCGGACAACCTTGACGAATGGAGCGAGACAATACGAAAGGCTCCGACCTTACCCCATTCACTTCCACCAGCGCACCGGGGGTCATACAAGAGTCGGATCCAGGAGCGAAAGTCGGCTCCGAAACCGGCCGCCGACAGGACAGCCTCCAGAAACCGATGGTCAACCCTATCGAAGGCCTTTGGACTGATCTAAATTGATCAGCGCGGCTTCACTGTCGACTTGTTCTAAGATCAAGCGTACCATATGAAGGTTATCCTGAATCGTCCTGCCCTTCACAGCACAAGTCTGTTCGGGGCCAATCAGACGAGACAGGACAAGCTGCAAACGGTTGGCTAAGATCTTCGCCAAAATCTTTAAGTCAGTATTTAACATCGTCAAAGGGCGAAAGTTCCTAACCCATCCCCACCGTTCTTGTCCTTACGCAACAACTTGATCACACCCCTGGTGAAGCGTCGAGGTAAAGACCCTGCCTCATCCAGTGGTTGTAAATCAGCTGCAGCAAAGGAACAAAAACGGGCGACAGCCCTCAAGTACACTTCGTAGGGAAGTCCATCTAGTCCCGGAGACTTATCCAGGCCAACCTGCTTCAGCGCTTCCCAGATTTCCGACTCTGTTATGGGACCCTCGCACCTAGCCGCTTCAGCTGCCTCAAGGCAGGGAAAGTCAGCCAAATAGGCATCGAACTGAGCAGAGCTCAGACCGGGCTCCCTGGTGAAAAGATCCTGAAAGTAAAGCCGAAAGGCCTCGCATATGCCCGCGCTTGTATTTGACGAGTGATGACAGCTACTACGGATGACCATAAATGAAAATTATTAGAAATCTGAGTGAACGCTTTTTTTTTTTAGTTTTACTGAAAGGGACAAAACTCTTTTTATAATAATGGCAATTTCAGTCTACTGTACAAGAAAATAAGGAACGTATTAAGTAAAAAAAATAAGGAACGTATTAAGTAAAAAATACAACATAAAAAATTATTTGAAAAAAATAGCACAACTAAAAAATTGAAAAAAATAGCACAACATAAAAAATTATTTGAAAAAAATAGCACAACTAAAATTTACAACTCGTAAATTTTGTTTCTACTTAATCACTAATTACCACAAGGAAATAGCCTAATACAGAATTTTGCACGATTTTTAAACTATTATAAATTATTATAATTAAAATGTAAAACAAATGAAAAAATTCTTGTAAAATTTAATTATTCATCAGAAAAAATTTATTTCTTCAGGCAATAATGACCTTAATATTACTTATTTACAAAAGCAATTAAAAGCTTTTCTAATTAAGTAATATCATAGATTTATTGGATTCATTATTTTTCAATTCAGAGCAGATTTTTGGTTAATTAGTGCAAATTTGAAAAAAAAAGTAGGTGATTTACCATCTCTAATGACTACTTTAAACAAAAAATTATTGTCAGAAAATAAAAAGGTTTTGAACGAAATTTCAGGAAAATAAGTAAGTGGGGTGTAACATATTTAAAAAAAAAAAAAAAAAAATATATTTTTTACCAAAATTTTCTAGAAAGAAATATTTCAAAAATAATTTCATTCATTTGTGAATAAGTCCTGAAAATTTCATTAAAATCGGACAATTACTTGATTTTTAAAAGAATTTCCAAATCAATGTGTTTCCGAGTTATCGACCAGAAAAAATAGGATTTAATCGGTCATTCGCCCACCATTACTGGCCTTGTGTAATTAGATTCACTGTGGATCAGTTACGACGTACGTTCATTTCCGTAGCGCAGTCATAACTTTTTGGCCTATTTACTACTTCCACTGCTCTTACTCGTCGAAATTACTGCGCACTATCGTAAAGCAATGACAACTGGGCAATATTTTTTTTGATAAGTGTAGTTTTTTTTTATAACAAAACTTTAAACAAAAACAAATTAAATAATACAATGAAACCTTTTTTCTGTGTAGAATAGCAATGACAAATTAAAAAAGAAAAAGAACAAATTAAATAATACAGTAAAGCATTTTTTATTTTTTAAAATTGAAAATAAAACAAACAAGCAATAATTAATGCGCAAAGAGCAAGGTAAATTATAAAATAAAATTACAATGTAAGAAAATGCGATAAATGAAATTCTAACAAGAACAAATTTAGGGTTTAGGGTTTTCTCTCTCTCTCTCTCTCTCTCTCTCTCTCTCTCATATAAAGAACAAAAAGAAAACCCTAACCCTATAGAACAAAAAGAAAATCCTAAACCTTGTCATTGCTTTACGATAGTGCACAGTAGTTTCGACAAGTAAGAAGAATTGTGGAAGCAGTAAATAGGCCAAAAAGTAAACGTAACTGATCCGCAGTGAATCTAATTACACAAAACCAGTTATGCTGGGCGAATGACCGCGATTAAATCCGATTTTTTCTGGTCGATAACTCCAAAAGTAAAAGAAAACGGTAGGTTTTATGATCATAATTGTAATTCGGGTTCAGCATGTACATTTACGGAAATATGACGATTTTGAAACATATTAATAAATATTTAGCTTGTGGATTGAAAAGCAAATTTACTGATAAATCCAGTTGAATAACAATGTTAGCTACTTCTCACCATGTAATTTTAAAATGATTTTCGAATCTTATTCTTAATTTTCACACATTTTTTTTTACTGTCAATTATTTTATTTTGACACCGGATGACAAAAATAAAATAGGAATACATATCTAGTACACCGGTTATGGCATCTCGGAAATGGCGTTACTTGTTGTATCATATTGTATCTTCATTTGAATCCCTTCGTGTTAATCAAATTCCTCGGCTAGTCCCTTCAGAAACACAATGGACTGTTTATAAAATAAATTCTAAAATTAGTATCCCGAAAACAAAAGTAGGTTTTGTTTCTGTATTGAAGAAATGTGTCAGGAAGAATTATAAAACTGTGCCAGATTTACCGAATATGGGTGAAGATATTTCAGATCAGTCATTTCAACCACCAAAATCTGTCCGTGGGATGAAGAAACTGGACAGGACAGCTTTTAAGCAGATCGTAAAAATACCAGCAATAAAGGTAAAGCCCTTAAATCATTCAATAAATGAAACTAGATTAGTGATATTTCATTACTGTTTCTTGATAATCGTAGGTGTTGTCAAAAACAAAAATAACAATTGTTATACTGGAATTGGATGATGTAATTTTTTCCTTGTGCAAATTATTGTGTAGTCTAAACTCTTTTCAAATGAAAGAAGAAAAATTTTAAATAAAGTGTTTAAACTCCCGAAGTGGGTTGGTAATTGACTTAACAAAAAAGTTAAGCTTTGATGCTTGTTTGACACTCAAGTCAAAATTGTTAATCCTAAATTAAATTTTTTAATTTTGTCCTAACTGTACCTGTGGAAATTCCACGATGAACACTGATTTTTAGAAATTATGAACGTAAGTTCTGTTTACTTGCCGTCTGGAAATAAATATAAATTTGAATTTTTAACTACTGTGAAAATACTTTTTACAGCGAATTCTTAAGTTAAGCTAAACACCAGGTGGAGGAGAGGTAAGGTTTGAAAGATACTAATTTACTTAAAAAATATTTACGACAGCTTACACTTCTAAATATCTATTTTCATATCGAAAATAGATATTTAGAAGTGTAAGCTGTCGTAAATATTCAATGAAAATAAACTAATTTTACAGGTAAACATTCTAATAAATTCTGCGGGAATTGCTAATAAAGTTTCAATCAGTTGTAAACATGTGTTGAGAAAATCAGGCCGAGGAAAAGAAGCAAAAGCACTTAGCTTAAGTTGCAAAATAAGATTCTTTTCCACAACGTAATGTAACTTGCATAAAGTGAATGTAAACGATGAGGGGGAGGGGATACATTTCTCCTCCCTTATAACTACTTCAGGGATCACATGGTAATAAAGTTATGTGACCCTTGTAACTATAAAAAGTTAGTAAAAAGTAACAACAACTTTTAGTTAGTAAAATCAAACAACCAGAGGTTAGTACATTTCTTTTCTCCCACCTGAACAGTCAAATTCTTCACACATTCCCAAGAACCAAAAAAAAAAATGAATAGAAACAAAATAAATATAGGGATGCAATGTACATTACTCTACCAGTGCCAATTGACAATGTTATTAAGAATTATTTTTGTTTGTTTTTTTTGTTATATTGGGTCCACCTAACTTATTCAAAGAGTAGACTAGGCCCAACTATGCCATTAATTGGAATAAAATTGGTGCCTCTGTCAAACCTGCCAACAAGGGGACAGTTGAAAAGGGAGTCCAGTTTGTCAATGTGCAATGATAAATTAATTATCCACCAACACTGGGAGTGAAAGTGGATGACTGAATCCAACATTGAGTTCCAGGAGTATCTCCTTGAAGCACTTATCATTGTCATCAAGTATTGATAACTTGAATTCACAATCAAGCCCTATGGACTCCAAGCTGCTGAGGGGCTTCAAAACTTCACTGGACAGATAGGTCCATCCACTATCAGTGTTCAACAAACAATTAGCCGAGACACTTTCACCATTTCTACTAAAGACAGGTGGGAGGTTAGTTGAACTCCCAGAATAAATACAGTTGCAGAGTTAACATGAAAGGAAGAATCCCTGTGTGGAGTTGGATTGAGGCTGCAACTCTGCATCTCTAAATGTGCCCTGTTCAGCATTAAGGGGCACTGTCTGAGGGATTGATCCTCTTGATAAGGAGGCATTTGACAGCCTCCCTGGTATCCCATAAGACGGAATACAATATGAAAATTCTTTTACCAGAGAGCTGAATCAATTTGCCCTTAACTTCTCTGGGGAATTTAGAGAAAAAGGAATTTTGCCATGAGGGTAGCCCCAGAAGACTGGTCATTTGAGAAGGCACAGTTGAAAGAGCTTTCCAATTCTGCCAAAAGTGAGGCTGTCCCAGAGATAAATTCAGTCAAAGTTGAAAAAGACCTATCATTTAATGGAGAAGTCCAGTATGTCCCAGAAAATATTGTCAATGATTTGATCTTTGTCCAGGTATTCATCCTTCAGGACAGTGAAAGCTATTCGATAATTCTTATTGCTGATATTGAGATGGTTAATCAGCAGTAAGGGCCTTCCAGAGAGCAAACACATTAAGAAGTTCAGCCTCTCAGTATTGTTGACTATACAATTCTCAAAATGCGATAAAAATTTTGAAAACTCATCCGGTTAGTATGCATTTCCAAGCCACTAAACATAAGGCCAGTAACCTGGATCTGTAGTGGTTTTACAACGAATGAGGATGGATTTCTATCCATCTCTGGGTAGCATGGAGATGACAATTTTTGAGAATTGGTTGTGGCAGGGAGGAATTTAAGCTCAAGATACTTGAGCTCCATCTGGAACCTTAACAAGTACTCCAGGGATTCCATCTCGATGTCCACTCAGTCCTCCTCAGAAGAAGATTGAAGATTCAATTTGTTAACACAGATCTCTACCTGTGTTAGGTACTCTAATACATTTTTTTGAAGAACTAAAAAAGTCTTCATGGAGAGTTCGTCCTCCTGACGAGCAACATCTAGATGTATCCTGATCTTCAGTTGCAGAAGAGAGATCATCTCTCCCTACTATTATCCATATTAGATACATGCAAGAATTCTTATTTCACATACTGTTGAGAAAATCTCAACCCCTCGAAAATTAGAGACGGTTCAGACTGAGGAAAAGAAGCAAAAGTAGGTACCTCCATCAGATCGCTAAAAGAAGAGCATAGCATTATGAAAAAGACGCCAAACTTGACAGAATAACATGTATCATATTTTTCATACTTCAAAGCTCCTAAGAAAATTAAATTTTGGCATTAAATGACACATAAGGAATTGATATAGAACTAACAATTAATCAATCATTTTGGTTGTACATGCAAAGTATATTATTATAGCAAAATGCCTTGACTACATAGGAACTCACACAAGACACTCAACTGACAATTTTGGATGAAGCTTGAGCTCTGAGGGTAAATAAATGAACAATATAACAGAAATGTATTTGTAGACATGGCTGAAATCAAATAATTCACAGTATTATTTGCAAATGGTGCACTACAATTTATGTATCCTTCACTCCAAACAAGATTGTAAACAAACATAAATGTGTGTGTATATATATATATATATATATATATATATATATATATATATTTTACACTACTTACATTGGTTGGACTGTTATCCTCAGCTTCATTATCAAATCACAATGTTTCACCCATTGTACGCTCTCGCCTTTTTCAGGTGATATACATTGGAATTTCATCCACCAGGGTAGATTGTTCTAGTTCCACATGCCATACCTTTTCTCGATATCTCAGTTTCAGTTATTTCCCTTTAGTAGCTCAGCTCTCCAAGTTTTTGTTCAGATCTGCTGTGGCCAGGTCAAGTCATTGGATTATTTCAACCAACACTTTTATCCATTTGTCCATGTCTCCTTCACATCAGTGAATGAATTTTGGGGACTTAAAATATTGTTTATACTTATAAACCTAACATCTCATACTGTTTTTACCAGAGCTCATATTACAACGTTGTTCTCTAGTAATCCATATTACTGGTTCTCATATTGTATTCATGTATGAGACCCAGTCATCGGCCCATGGTCAACTCCCAGTCGTGGCACGAAACTGTAATGTTTCTTCTACCGGCATTTTGGGGTTGACTCTTTGTCGTCACCACCAATCTGTGTCCCGGTCGATCGGTGGTCATCGCTAATCAGCGAAATCCCCTGGTCAGGATACCAATATGGGACACTGGCCTGTCCAGGGTCGAATTCTGATCGTCGATGTTAGCAGCTTCACCAGCTGTACCAGTTCAATACCAGCTCTATCATTCCCAGCTCACTTGCAACATCTGTTACTGGAGTAAATGCTTCGATCTCAAGTCTAACCTACTCACATTGTGACTTTGATCTTAGGTAGACAAGATCAATCAGGCTTTGGGCCGTAGTGTAGGCTGAGTCCGGAGTGAAGGTGGTATCGCACAAGTGCAAAGAAAAATAAATAAATAAAAGAAAAACCCAAGAGGTTCAAGTATGTTAAGAAATAACAAATTAACTTAATATGGGTACCGACCAAAACCCGGTGTGGGGCCAGACGCGGCCTGAGGTTTTTGGTAAATCTCAATTTCTAACAAGAAATCTCTTTGTTGTCAGGCCAGGAAATTTGATTACTTCTCATTTTTGGAAAATTAATCACTTTCCATTTTGGTGGGAGGGGGTTCTCCGTCGTCCATGAGGAGAGCTATCCTCCTAGACTCTTTCACTCTCACATTGATATCCCATACCAATCCCTTCAGTGGGCATTAATAACTTCTCTGTCTTTCTCATTCATTCACCTTTGCCTATCACCATTGCTACCACTTGACCAATGGAATCCCGGTCATGCAGGTGTGGCTAAGCTGGCCTCCTTAAAATTATAATCTAGAATTTTTGTTTACAAAATTCTCCTTTTTCTCATCGGCCAAAATTTTTACGAATTTCATATTGCCAATTAAATTTCTATCATATCTTTTGGCCACCCAGTATTCACTTAGCCAGCACTCTCTACCAACTCCATCAATCACTGTCAAAGTTTGCCATCTGGTCCTTTTGTGAAGCTTTATAATAGAATCCTTGGCTTGTTGAGAAATTAAATTCTTTTATCTCACCAAATCTCAATTCTCCACTCTATTTTCTGTCTCATGCCAAAATTTTAACAAACGCCATATTGCTATTCAATGTTTCCACATCTGAAGTGACATGTTGATAAGGTAAATAATAGCAATCCTCTCACCTATGTTGAGACAATGCCAAAATTTTAGAATTGCCACATTGCTTTTCCTCGCCGGTGGCCAAGAAAAAAATAAATGATATCTTGGAAAGATAGTTAACATTGATTCTCCCTGCCTGTATCGTCTCGAGCCGAAATTTTTATGACCGCCATGGTCTGGCTGATATCTTAATATTTGCCTTTCTTCCAATCTCCCTTGGCAAGACATTAATCAACCTGACAAAACCTCACATATGGCTTTTTCCACGGGTTTACTGTCTTTTGTGAAAAGTATCTTTTTTGTAA